AGAGTTCCTATTTGATTCATTTTATAAGGCATGGGTATACTATTAGCCTTAGTTCAGAGTTATTCAGATCATGAGCATGCACAGTAAAGGAAATATTGATTGTCCAACCATAAAGCTTTCTCACGGCAACGGGATTACAAATACAGTACTTGCGCCAAGGTCGATTATGAGAAATCATAGAAATAGTGAACCTCGCTTCCAGGGTCTGTCTTCTTCCGGTCCGATGATGAGAACGAGATCGATGTTATGGCAGACTGCGCACATCTTGCACTAGGACCTCGCACGATCATGTGGTTGTCGCATTCAAGGCAGTGACACACAAGTAGAAAAGCCAATAGCGAAAGCGCTATGGCACCAAATATCATGTTATCTGTGATGCATGTGGATTAAGTAATCCTTACACTTTTTGAACCTACATGATTAAAGAGTTTGAGAATAACGTTTACGGCAACCCCCAAAAAACAAGCTCTTATTTTCCTTTTTTTCCTTAACTCTTGGATTAACCCCGTAAAAAAAAAAAGAATGCAAGACGATATCTTGCTCCCAGTCTAAACAATTTATCACTTAGTATTTAAAATGATTGAAAGTGAACAGTGGCAGTATCTCATTAATTGAATGAAATTTACAACATAACTAAAGCAAAGCGCGCGCTCTGATTGGTCTTTTTATATCGTTTTTGTAATGAAATGTAGTGGTATTCATCCTCAGTATCAACGTATTTAACGTATTTACAGGTAGTTTCCGATGAAACAAGCAGCAAATTTTGCCGCAAGTTGACACCAGGCAGCAACAGCTCTCTGACAATAGAGGACGTGCGAAGTGAGATCAATAAACAAATCATTTAAATGCAACCAGTATCTTTTTGTCAGCCGTCTGGGAAAATCTACGTCCCAGGTCCTCCTGGTAAGAAAGGGAGCCGAGGTCCCCGAGGAAGGCGAGGAGCGCAGGGGCCGAAGGGAAAGAGAGGTGAGCAAGGTATAATGGGCTTACCTGGAAGACTCGGCATGCAAGGCATCAGGGGAGATAAAAGACTGGCAGGAGAAAAAGGCGAAAAAGACGAAAAAGGTAATCGAGCTGATTTCTCTATCAGTTAAGATTATTTTTGTTTCGCATTCATTAAAAAGAGAAAAACAGCAATTGAGTTTTGATTTATTTATTTTGTGTTTTTTTCTTTTGTTTTTTCAATTTTTCAACTTACAGGCGCTTCTGGCCCCCGTGGAATGACAGGACAGAAAGGAGAAGCTGGAAAAAGTGCCTCCTTGCCAGAGGTGACCATATCACCTGAGACTAAAACAGTAACTGAGAACCAAAGAACTTTACAATGACAACAAGGACGAGAAATTCATCACATGTTTTAACTGGGTCAGTTCCCACGAACATCTCACGGTAATAAACTTGACTTGGGTAAAAAATCAATCTAGCTCAATTTTACGTTTCGCCTGTCTGTGTTATATCAGCAACACAGAATTGGACCATTTCATAGTTTTACGCGTAAAGTTAACAAATATTCGTCTATGAAATTACCATCTGGCCTCTCCCTTATCCAACCTCGATAAGAACTGGCCAATCGTATTGCTCTGTTTCAATGCCAATAAAACCTACGTCTATCATCTCACTGTGTTCCTACCGAGTATGTTTAGAGATGGCGATCAAGGAAAGTTTCCTCCTTCTCTTCTTTCAAGGAATGGCCGTTATTTTCGCAAAAGAGGACTCGACGCTTTCTCGTTCATCGTTATTCACCACGCAGGAGAACAAGCGACTTGCAGGCCATGCTGTCAAACGATTTCAATCTCCCGATCAAATATCATGCAGCCTTTCGTGCCTCAGAAACTCCTGGTGTACTTCTACAAACTTCGAAGAACCAACTGAAAAGGACGATAAAGGAACTTGTGAACTGAACAAGCATGGGATCCTGGACGGAAAAGCTCAGTTTTATGATCAACAAGGCTTTACTTTCTCTATGCTGCTCAAGGTATATATATAAATATTTTCAACACTCACGGTAGAAAGAGAAAGTTTTTATTTTCAACTGCTGTAAAGTATCTTCACGCTTTCATGCATATTAGTTTGAGATTTTCGCGAGTCGTTCAGTTCTGTTTGCTTTACAATTATACACAAAATGACAGCTGCTGAACAAGAAGATTTCCACTCAATATGGTAAATATGTCTGTTAAACGACCATACATGTTTGTTATTTTTAGGGATGTCTCATGACAGGCTGTCGTAATGGCGGTTCTTGTTTGTTTCATGAGAAGAACCAAACATTTTCATGTTCCTGCATACATCCGTGGACTGGAAATGACTGTCAAATAATTGGTAAGATTGCAATTTTTTTTCGTAAAACCTTCACAGCAGGCCAAAGTAATAAGAGTGCTCAGTGGAGCCGAACATGTAAATAGCCGCTCCTCAAGCAAAATCCAGCTGGCTGGCGCATCTTAGAATAAGACAGAAGTCTTTCACTCTTTGGACAAAAAATGAAATTACAACAGCTTTTGAAAAAACTTTATAACGGGAATTGAAAGCGGAATCGGTTCTAAATACAGATTATTTTGTTCCCCTTAAGTTATGATCCGAAAGTTCATTAATATGCTGTCGCCACTAAGTATGAAATACGAGAAAAATGGCTTTTATTGGGGCAAATGTACACCCGTGAAAAATTATAACCAGCGCGCTTAATGATTCCGCCGCTTCACCAGTGTTTTTGATGGTGGCTACATTATCGCCCCTCTGCATACCGTTCCTCTGACTATTGAAAAAACGTATTTGCGAGAATATTTTTTACTTGATTCGTGTTGAAAACTGTGCAAACTTACACAATCCGGCCGATGAAGACGCAAGATTTAAGCTGTCTGTGATCATAATCTAGCATGACAGAATGTTAATATTCGATCGCTCAAGTACGTTACTGCCTCCCATTGTCGTTACAGGGATGTTAGTTAATTTCAAAACAAGATTTCAAGAATTAAACTTAGTAAGTCACTTCAACGGATCTGCTTATTTCTTTTGTTATGTTTTGTTTTCTCACACGCGCAAATTTCGGTAAGAGGAGGTGTATTATAATTTTTTTTTTTTTTAATTTTCATCCCACAGGAGAGGGGTTATAAACGTAGATGAGAGGACATTGTAATTGTTGCATGATCAGCAATTTACGCTGCCATTTACGTTTTATCACAATAGAATCGTTGTTGCTGCCAAAAGGCGAGTCTTTTCTTTGCCGCTTACAGCAATGATTACAAACGCTCGATAGGAGGGAGAGGTTTGAACTTATGAAGAACCAACAAAAATAGAAGCTTACAAAATGCAGAAATATAAAACTGAAAGGCGGCTAAAGCGAACGCGATGAACATAATAACTAGGAACTTATATTGTATCGGCGCTGTAGGATGTTCTCTTAAGACAAGATGTTCTCTAGATGAAATCAACGATGAAACTAAAAAGCTAGAATATTAACAACATGTAAATTATACCGAAAGCGGGAAAGAAAGACTAAACGTATTCCCGAAGGAACGCTAATAAACTGCAAAAAAAATGGGGAGAATGCTAAAATTCTACAATCGTTGCTAATTAGTGTACATTGTAGTCTGACCGTAATATATGCAGAATGCTAGCAGGTATAAAAACTCGTAAATTTTGGCCCTACATTTTATTACTTGGATTAGTGTGTGCGCGAATAAAGAATTTTGTTTTTTTACAGAACCGAGTAGTTAACAGTAATAGTCAATAGTTGACAAAGTGCTATGGTATGCAAAGCATACTCTTCGAACTCAGAGAGTAAGATTCGTAGAGCGAGCATGTGCTGTCGTATTGTGAAGTTGTGTAAAAGGATAGGCAGCCATTAAAGATAAAAACCGATCGGAAGAAAACTATTATTACACGTTATTACACTGGCGACGAGGATTTATTGAGCCTGTGGTTGTTAAATGCCGCTTTAATTCTGCCGTTTGATCCCATGACGATCAAAATTCTCTCGCTCACCAATGGCAAAAGTGGTTCAAAAGCTATCCGACGCAGCTGGCTGCAAAAGCAACAAACAACGCCAATTGTTTCTCTTTACTGACCCCGTGGCATATAATATTCAAGACGCCTTCTGCGCGTTATCCGATGCATGAACTGATTAACTTGAAAACGGCCGCACTCCGTCGGCTCAAATTTCACTAAGAAACATAAGGAAGGCGAGACCATCGCACAAGTCGTTATAATCTATCAGATTATAACGATATGCCCATCCAGAAAGTCGTAGAATAAGATTAAGCTGTTCTTGTATTGTTATTAAAAACATGAAAAAGATGGGCAATTTTTTATCTACGTGGTTGTACCCTCAGATGCGAATGCTTTCATCCAAAAAGCTGTAAAGTGAAAATGTTTAAAAAACGGAAATCAATCGAAGTAGAGAGACTATAAAAGTGGTTATTTCAGTACTAGCGGTGCTCTTAAAGAAACTGGAAAAAAGGGATCTTTGTTAATTTCAAAACGAGATTTCAAAAATTAAACTTAGTAAGTCACTTCAACGGATCCGCTTATTTCTTTTGTTTTGTTTTGTTTTTTTTTTTCTCACACGCGTAAATTTCGGTAATTGGAGGTGTATTATAATTTTTTTTTTTTAATTTTCATCCCACAGGAGAGGGGTTATAAATGTAGATGAGAGGACAATGTAATTGTTGCATGATCAGCAATTCACGCCGCCATTTACGTTTTATCAAAATAGAATCGTTGCTAATTAGTGTACATTGTAGTGTGACTGTAATATATGCATAATGCTAGTAGGTATAAAACTCGTGAATTATGGCCCTACATTTTATTACTTGGATTAGTGTGTGCGCGAATAAAGAACTTTTTTTTTACAGAACCGAGTAGTTAATAGTCATTATTAAAAATTGGATCATTGGAAAATGCAATTCAAGACTTTCCATTGGCCTAGCCATTATGTTATATGAGCCAATATACCATAAACTACTATATGGTAAGCGTACGCATAAGCTTAAAATTGAAAGGGAGCTAAAATGTAATAAAATTTAATAATTTAATGTAGCGTTTTTAATAAAACAATTATTCAACTCGTGTTTGTTGGATATGAGATGATTATAGCCAACTCGTATCCAACGCGCGCTCGTGGAATAATTGTTAAATAGTTGACAAAATGCTATGGTATGCAAAGCATACTTTTCGAAGTCAGAGAGTAAAATTCGTAGAGCGAGCATGTGCTGTCGTGTTGTGATGTTGTGTAAAAGGATAGGCAGCCATTAAAGATAAAAACCGATCGGAAGAAAACTATTATTACACGTTATTACACTGGCGACGAGGATTTATTGAGCCCGTGGTTGTTAAATACCGCTTTAATTCTGCCGTTTGATCCCATGACGATCAAAATTCTCTCGCTCACCAATGGCAAAAGCC